GAAAATGAAATTCATTCTCAACTTCTCTCATCTCACATACTTCACACAACCTGTGTTCCTCTGGGATATTATTGGTTTTAAACTACCTGAATAATGAGGCAAAGATTAGAAAAAACCCCTATTGAAGTATGTAAAAATAATGTGCTTAACTGACTCAGCAGTCGTTAATCATCTGTTAAATGCACAATGAATTGTAGGACGGATTGTTCTGTTGTTTTCTCTCAGGGCCTAATTATAGAGCTTTGTTTTTTGCCTGCAGCAGACCAAGTGTGAATTAAGTCTCGCTGCTGAAACATGAGCTTGAAACGCATTTCAATCTCCTTAAACACAGCTCCTACTGTTACAGTTGTGTTGTTTTTCAAACAGGTATATGTAGTGTTAGAAGTCTCAATCAATGAGAACAGTAGTGCGTCTTTGCATAACATTTTAAGATAAAAAATCATTGCTTTTTGATTGTCGAAAACAGAAGTTAAATTGCAAGTGTATCTCAAAAAGGAGACTGAGCACAAGATGTCAATGCGTTTCTTTTTTTGCTTGAAATATAGGAAGCTGGCTTGTTTGGTATACAAAATTTAAATATATTCTGCCTCTGACTTTCCTACAGGTTAGAAAAGGTCAACCATCTGTTGAACCACAAAAAAGAAAACACTATTGCCCTTGATTATTGAGTTTTCTATCTTACAGATTGTTTTATGAGGAATGGTAAATGGACTTGAGCTTGTATAACACTTTTCTAGTCTTCTGATTACTTTTTACACCACAGGTCACACCCATTCACACACCAATGGCAGAGTTTGCTATGTAAAGTGTCCATCAGAAGTATCCCATTCACACACATTCATACGCCCCCTTATGAAGCAGTGGGAGCAACTTGGGGTGTTGCCCGAGGACACATCGAACATGTAGCTGCAGGAAGTTGGGATCGAACCCCTCACGTTCTGGTTGAGAGACGACTGACTCTACCAACTGAGCTGACAGCATGCAACTTCAATGATCTGGAAAAGCAAATGTAAAGATCGCAGAAGCCGATTTTAAAAGGCTTTGGTTTTGCTGAACAGGCAGTTTGAGTTAACTGGTTTGTATAATAGCCTTTCTTATTAGTTTCCATAACTTTTCAACAACCTCCTGACTTTTTTAGTGCAGCTTAAAGGTAAGACATTTAGTCTCCACCAAGTATATCCACGTTACCAAAGAAAGGAGCAAAAGAGTGTGAGAGCAAATCAGTCCCTCCTGGAGTTTGCAGGCTTTTTCTGTGATTATTATTATTGCAGCATTATACATTCCTTATTTTGCAGAAGCTGTTACCACTGCTGACAGTAACAGAGGACAGGGACTTGCAAATCCACATAAATAATGATGTGAACCTGTGCATTTGTTAAGAACCCCTGTGATCCATTGACATTTTGAATGGTTCAAACTCCTTTCTGACTCTGCCCCACATCAATATCAGACCTGAACTGACAGGCAAGTTGAAATGAAGCTGTTGTTCAACACTGATTAATGAAGATACCAGCCACATTGTTTATAGCAAAGTGGAAAAAGCTTGTTGTAAAGAGGTTGTCTGTGGTGACAAAATATGTTGTATCTCCAAAGAAAAGGTGTTCACTGGTTTAAATGTCCATTGAAAACACTGACCCATAAGTAGATAAAGACAAAGGATATTGATTTTATTGGAAGAATGGAGCCTCTTGATCAACTCAACATCTTTAGAGAGAACATGCTTGGCCGAAGTGAATGATGTATCCTTTTATATCACTTTTTATTGTAAAACATATAGTAGGACTTGTCTATGTAAGGAACAATGTGTAGTGGGTGGGTTAGCAGAATGGATCCCCATAAGGGTGAGCAGGCCCCCTTCCTCCTCGATATCAGGATTGATATACAGAATACTGAGTGTAAAAACTAAGTCATATGTTTGATAGTTAAACCAGCTCTCACTTATTTTCTTCAGCTAATCTAACTTCTCCCAGGACATTTTCTTTTCCCATTGTCCTGTCATTATCCGTCTCTTCACCAGATGCTCTCCAAACTTCCCCTTCTTTCCTTCTCAATCCACACCCCTGCTCATTGTTATAATCAGCCTTTGAGTTTACCATTTTCTGATGAAAGACCTGTCCTAGATGGCATCAGCCTGTCATCCAGAACCATTGTTACTAATAGAACTTCTATTGTATGGTGGTCAGGAGGTGTCAGAGGAATGCATATCCAAAACACTTAGTAAAAAGCCACAACACAAATTTAAAAAAGCCACAGCAAAAGCAAACACAACAACACAAATAAGAAATAGCAACAACAAAAATTCAAAAAGTCACCACATTAATGCATGTGGGGTTTTTTTTGCATTTGTGTTGTGGTGTTTTAATTTGTGGTGTGTCCTTTTGCATTCATGTTGTGGCTTTGAGAATAGTGTTTTGGATATACATTCATCTGACACCATAAACCTCCACATAAAAACTTTTTTCACCTTCACAACATTGCAAAAGTCATGCTGTCTCAAAAAGATGCAAAAAAAACTATTAAGTGCGTTTGTTATTTTTATTTGGAACATTACAATTCCCTGTTACAGTATCAGTCTTCTCTTATAATTCTGTAAGGACTCTTCAGTTGGTATAAAAAGCTGCAGTACACCGCTGACAATAACTTGGAAAAGAGATCACAGCAGAAATGTTTTCCTGAGAAACACAGACCAGACTAACAGACATCAGTATTCTTCATACTAAATAAAGATTGTTTCAGGTGTGTAGCCAACAGTCTTGAATAGCTTTTCTCTGTAAATTTAAACCAAGCTTAATTTAATCTTCAAACTCAGAGTGAGCTAAATGTGTTGCTTGCCTCAGGACGCTGATGAGCTGCCTTGACTCCTTGCCTAAGTGTTTCACAAAATCTTATTATTGCGCCATTGTATTCACACTGTTACTACACTTGCCTATCATGAGATGAAGGCATCCTGAAGTCTTGTGGGACTACTGCTACAGGGTGTGTGAAAAAAGTTTGAATGCTGTGAGACTTATTTTGTTTGAGTAATGATATCTCTTTTTTTTTCGTTCATTCTTTCTGACCTCTTTTCTTTCACAGTCATTTCCTAATACAATGTCTGACTTAACAGGACTTCTAAAAACTGATAGCCTTTGACAAATTCAGCTGGGCAGTAAAAAAAAACTCACTTGAAACCACTTGGGTCAACTCATTACAATCATGCCTAGTGAAGCTGACAAAGGCAGATAAGGAAAACCTTTGAAATCTCCCTTTGTTCTCTACTGTCTGACAAGACAAGAGTGTATTTACCAGGCCATAGCACAGCTTTCATTACAAACTAGGAAAAGCATCGCAGCCAATTTGAGGCCAAGTCAGTCAGCAGCAGAGGGAGTGCTAGACTGTTGTTGATAATCTCTCCAGAGAACATACTCGATCATGCCTTTGGTTCATTAACTCTCCAACCAATTGTAGTCCAGTTTCTGCTCCTTTGTGGATGTGTGTTCTCATTTGAGCCAAAGGACTGCTGACAACAGCAACACTGAAGACCTCCAACAACAGGCTTCATCTTGAGTAAGGGCAGCTGAACAATGTCAAGTCATAATACTTTGGAAAAGTTCCATCAAGCTGCAATATGAAACACACTTAATTATTCTTTTTGAAGGTAATGACTGAAAGTTACAGTCTTGGTATCACTTTAAATAAAGGTCACAATATTCACCATTAGTGTCTTATTAGCATGCTAATAAGCATACTGGCTGCTTATTAGTCATTATTGAGTGCTTATTAGTACCTTATTCTATATGACCATAGGCTATAGCTAATAATCAATTTTGCTGTGTATATTCCTTTTTATTACTGCTTATTGAAAGGAAGTTAAGAAGTTGTTGAACATTTTGTGATTGCCTCTACCTTCTAGATCTTCTCTATTTAACAATGGAAGATTTTTTGAATGTTGTGCTTTTATTTTATCCAGTGTCTAATATTTATGCATTCAGTCTGATATATTATGAAGTGTAACGTTACTCAAATGGACTTTTTTTTGTTTTTACATATTCTGTTATTTTAGATCATGTACTTACTGCCATGTATTATTTGTTTACCTGCCCAGGGACAACAGATGCAAATTAGCTATTAGCTAACTCTGGTACAATTACATCTAATTGTGCACTGCCCCTGTAAAAAATAATAATAAATAAAATAAAATAGGAAAAAAAATGATATTTCAAAGTGTTCACAATGTTAAAGTGTTAAAAGTTTTAAAGATCAATAAATTCATGTGATGCTGATGTTATCAAATAAATCAAATCAAATCAATCAGTAATCGTTTAATAATTGTGATCTCAATAACAATAGAAAATAATTGTGGGAATGATTTTTGCCATAATCGAGTAGCCCTATCCCTACAGGCTATGTACTGGCTTTTTTTTTTAACCTTTAGAGAACCTTTTGTAATTTGTCAATGAAAACCATTTTGTATTGTTTTAACACAAACATCACCAACTGCTTAAATAAGATGATGGTACAATTCAACACTAAACCAAAGAAAACATAAGCATATCAGCATTGTCAGTGCTATCTTGTCAATATGCTGATATTAAACATTAAGCAAGAATACTTCAAAAACAACAGCTGTTCATTTTCACTGTCATCAAATGTTTTTTGTTTTTTGTGAATATCTCTTAATGTCTTCCTCTAATAAGTTATTTTGTGTTTGACATGAGCGCCCTCTGCTGGAGATCAGCTCTATGTGCTATTTATCAATATGGTATGTTTGGAAAAAACCTGGATTATTTTAATAATAACATAACGTTATTGATACAGCACGGGGGGGGGGGGGAGGGCAAGTCCATGCAGAAATTTCCAAACAGACTACTTTATATTGTGTTGTGACATAGATTTGTCCTAATTCTGCTCCTGTCCACTTTGACATTCAATTTAAATCCAGTAAAATAGAGCAATAATACGATCTGTCGTTAGAGGGCGCCCGTCTGTGGAAAAAAAAACAAACACCGGAAGTTGTAGCTTCTGAGTTTCAGTTTTTCAAATCCCAGCTGGTCTGCAGAGTAGTCTACTGTAACTTATAATGTGCTGACATGAGTCTTGACATAAACTGTTTGGATTTGAGCAACGGACTCGAGGATGTTCCTGTTTCTGTCAGGAGGATTTCAGCCACAGGGACTCGTCCTGAATTTGTGGTAACGTGACGTAGCTTGTGTTTCTCACCCATAGTCTGTATGTAGCCTACATAAATTGTTTTTATCTTCCCACACATTGTAAACAAAGTACCAAAATAGGCCCACATCTCTTCTTTATAGTGTTCTGATGTTTCTGGCGTTGCAACAGCTTCAATATTTCATGTCTATCTTATGTGTCCTCTGTCCACTGGGACTTGTTTTATTCTAGTAGATCAAATAAAAAAAAGTGTTCTGCCTACAGACTATTTAATCCAATTTTCAAGCACACAGTACGTAGGTATGACAATTTATGATAATAAATACTAAATACTTTATGCATAGGTCAAAATTTTGCTAAGGAAAATGTGAAAAAAAAATATACAATATAAAAAAAAACTTAAGAAGAAGTTGAAACTCCTGGGGAGCAGCATTAAGTTATAAGCAGTGAACAACCTGGACTATTTAAAAATGGACTGACCACTGTGATGTCAAACATTGGTTTTATTAACTGCCTTTTTAATGTCACAAGTTGGCCGACATTTTCAAGTAGTCTTCTCATCTTTATGGCCCACTGTAGTTTCTGCGTAACTGCTTAAAACGATCATTCATACTTTGAACAAAGATATCCTTGACATCCTGAGTGATCAGATGACATTGCAACCTCAGTTTATCCTGGGTGGGTTTACACACTGTACTTAAAGGCTGTGTTTGTAATGAGATCCTTCACTTAAAGTGGACATGAAGGAGTGTAAAAGAAGTTCATAGCTCAGGCTTACTCCATGCTGAGTGACCACCTCGGGATGCTCTTATAACCATTATTTTCACATTAGGATGGAGCAACAAGAAAAAAAAACATAATTTAAATAATTGGGATTAAGAAGATTTATTCAAAAAGGAGCTAACATTCGCTGTTGATGATAAGAAAAGATGTAGATATCAATGAAGTATAGTATTGAGGTGAAACTGAGATTGTGTGATATTATAGCAGCTGGAGACTAAATTGAGTTGAAGGTTACTAATGTAAAGATTGTTATCACAAACTAGTAACAGATGCTACCAGAAAACCTTTTATGGACATCAAAACAGCACAATCTGAAGCCCTGTTTTATTAAAAGCAGTCAATATTCAGAAAAAATCAACACAGTTTGACAAATTGTTAACCATTCACACCTTAAAACAAAAACAAATGAGACAAACGGTTTTCCTTTGTCGATATCTGGTCATGGCTTGGTTTCTGTGATTTCAGGACAGGACCGCCATTTATTTTTATTTCCTGTTTCAGTGTTTAAAACCTGTTTTCACAGATTGGTTTTAAATCTGTGGCAACATGTAATTTTAAGCCATGAGAGGCGTTAGCGCAGCTCTTCCACATTTTACACATAAGGCAAAATGAAGCTTAATATGTTCATATGTCATGTAAGGATCAATGAGTCAGGCAGGAGACAAACACATCCATCTTTCCAACCTGTCTGCTTTTTTATTTTTCTGGCATTAGGGACTAAACATGACATTGGCAACGTTGTCAGTTTTAGTGTGGTACCAACAAGCCAACAACATCTTATTAAACTTGTGTTGGCGGATTTATTAGACTACGTCCAGTAAATACACCCTCTCCTTGTGATGGAAAATGTGAATTCTTGAGATATTTTGATGTTGCTGATTTTTTTTGTATCACACATAGGACATGTAAATTTAAAAAAAGCATATTAAGTATGTCATTTTTTTCCCCAAATCAGTCTCATGCATAGCCCAACAAACATGAAGGACACTGTGTACAATAGTGCTTGAATTCCAGATACTGCTATAAAAGATTCAGTTGACATGATCTGAGATGGTGGAAAAATCTGAATAATTAAGATGCACTTTATCTGTGGTGTGAGTAAGGCCCTACCCCCAATTCACCCAGATCTGTTGGTTACTAACTTTATAAGATGAAAAACATTGTTTTAACAGCAAGATGGCAGCAAATCATAATAGTTTAGAGCCACACCACAAACTCACTACAGCACAGGGACTCAAACATGATCTGCCTCTGTTAAAAAAAAAAGATCAGTTAATGAAGTTTCCACTTTTTGCTCTGGCTGTGATATAATGAAACCTAATTATCAGTCATTGTAAGTCATCATTGCTGAATGTGATGAAACATAGGTTGCATGTGGCAGTGTTGTTATATCAGAAGGTTGATAGCGTGAGGTTTTGTATTATGTAGCTGTATTGACAAACTATTAACAATAATCGTATTCACTCCTCATTAGTTGTTCAGCCTATCACAAAACCTGTCCGCTTCCAATAGTGAATTGCTAGCTTTAAAGCCAATCAGGCGTTAATGTACCTCCTACTTGGCCTTAGCTTCAGGATTTCTATATATTTATATTTATACATAATAATTTTGCATATATTGATGTTGGAAGTTTTAAGAAATAGGGCCCTACGTTTCAGTGGAGCTTGCACACAACAAGCAGCCACACCTCACAATTAACAAAACTATTAAATTGCTTCAGCTGTAATAATTGCAATAATATTTGCCATTTGGATATCACTTTTTTTTTTTTTTCATTTTCCAGTATTCCCCAGATAATGTTCAGGGACCAGGATGCACTTTGGACCCCAGTGAAGTCTCCCTTCCAGGATGCTCCTGTCTTTCCCACTTGTGTGTTCCGGAGAGCTGCTCCTGCCTGCAGACACATGGACCAGCATATGACACTACAGGCACACTGCTGAACCTAAGCGGCTCCGACTCTGGTTACTGCTCACCAGTGTTTGAGTGTAACGCCCTTTGTACCTGCAGTGATGCATGCTCCAACCGGGTGGTTCAGAAGGGGTTAAGGCTCAGGTTAGAGGTTTACTGCACAAAGAACATGGGCTGGGGAGTACAGACACTTGAGGCGATCCCAAAAGGGACTTTTGTGTGTGAGTATGCAGGAGAGGTGATAAGCTTTGAAGAGGCCAGACGTAGACAGCTTGCTCAGAGGTCTGCAGAAAATAACTACATTATTGCAGTGAGGGAGCATGCTGGTACAGGATCCATCAGTGAGACGTTTGTGGACCCAGCAATGGTGGGAAATGTCGGTCGCTTTCTCAACCACTCCTGCCGGCCGAACCTTTTCATGCAGCCAGTGCGTGTGCACTCTGTGGTACCTAGACTGGCTCTGTTTGCAGCTCGGAACATTGATGCACAAGAGGAGCTGATGTTCGACTACTCTGGAGGATATAGTAACCAACCTCCTGCAGAGCTGCTGCCTACAAACAGTGAGAATGGATTACAGGCCAAAGGGATAGGCGGACTCCAGAGAAAACAGTGCCACTGTGGTGCCGATAACTGTGTTCAGTTTCTTCCACTGGATTTATCCATTCTCAACTGAAAGATAAGAAAATTAAATGTATTTTTCTGATTTTCAAGAGACCATTATATTTCTGAAAAATGGAAGCCTAGTACAATTTTCACATATTGTACGTTATTTTAAAAGGTCTTCTTACATTTCTTGACAACTGAATTGTTCCCTTCACAACATCTGCTGGATTAGCCATGTCTGTGGCCATCATTGTTTCCTATTTTGTTCCCCCTTGAGGTCACCTGATCTGCAGCTGTCTCCCACTCAATGAAAGGAATACAATGAGAGTGAAATCCAAAAGCTTGGAAAAACAGTTTTTTTTCTTTACCTAACACAATTGTTGTGAATCCTGGGGAGGATTTTGCACAACGTATTTGACATACATTGTAGAAAACATCAAGCATCACGGTATGCTTGATTTGTGTAGGACACCAGATTGTATATCTCTTAACTGTCATCTTGTCGTGGAACAATGGAATTCAGATTTTCACAAACACAACAATTGAGAAGCAGAAGTATCAGTTACGCTGACAGAGAGAGGAGAACTTAAAATAACAGATCTACTATTTACAGTTGGAATATTTTGCATAACCCATATCGGTCAAAATAAAACATCAGAATTCCCAGTTAAAGTTATAGCTGTAATGTGTTTACCATCAACTTGTCGTTTCTTTCCTGTCTTCATGCATCACCAAGTAGATATTCTCAGTTTCTCATGACACTCAAGCCTCAAGAGAGGTGGGACCAATTAAAAAAGGGCCAGGGGGTGTGTTTTATATAGAAACAGACTTATTCCCCTGTCAGAGGAGGGGTGAAGGTGTCCCACTTTAGTGTGACCATTTCGAAATCAGGACCTTCTCCTTTCAATCTGCCCCCTTTCTCGTCTAGACCTGCTTTCATCTTATTAATACCCACATCTGGGTTAATTAGGATGGAGACCGTTTTTCATCTAGAAATGGGACCAGCCACACAAGGGCTGAGAGAGACTAAATGGGGGTGGGGATGGAAGCCCTCTGTTGATCGGAGACCGCTGTCAGGTTGCCTAGTTTTTGTGTCACCCAGATGAAAGGCGAATGTTGTTTATTAGTAAAAGAAAAAGAAAAACGTGGCTTCATGACATGAGGTGTTTTGTCACATGGTTGTTATCTGTTCAAAAACCACATTGTGATGTTTTTTTACGATATGTTTTTGTAGAGGAAGAAGTGGCACCGTAGTTATTGGTGAGTGAATTTTGTTACATTGAGATATTATTCGCATCGCTTCATCCTGTCTCAAATACTCACCTTAGCTAACAAGAAGCTGTGTGTGTTAAACTTGCACACTTGAGCGTCGTATTGATCTTTCATATAAATTTGTGCAAAACATCTTTCAAATATTCTGCCATTATGTCAAACTTGTTTTAAACTTGCACTAAGCGCACTAAAAAAAAGCAGTTGTAAAGTCATTGCACACATAACGCAGTGGTACAATCCATATGAGTGGATTAAGTCAAATGTAGGTTTCTGATATAACTTTAGTCTAATTGTGAGAACAGAATTGCTGATTTATATTTAGGCTGAAGCATAGTTGCTAGGAAATGGTGTATTTGTAAGAAATACTGTACTGCCATGGTGAGGTTAGGGCTGGATGTTCGCTGTGTCTATGACCTTGGAGAAAACTAGGACAGGAAGGGAAAAGGACTCCATGCATTGCTCAAACCAAAGAAAAAAATTGTGTGGAAAGTTCTGTGCCAAGGCTTTCTTATCTCATCAGCTAAAGCACGTGTTGTCTAGTATTTCACCTCTGCAGATTGTAGAACAAATTGAATTAGAGAACGAGTTCTCTCAACTTAAGGCCAACTTTTAGTTGATAAACAAGATGCCATTGTCCTTTTACTACAAGTAATAAAAAAATGCATCTCCATTGAAATGCATGACTCATGTCATTCATGAGTCAGATGTCCCTGGAATCCCTATGGCAACAGGCTATGTCTACAGGAGGTGATACGGACAGCAGTGGCTGGCTCTGAGGTGCAGGAAAGCTGTTCTTCTATCCTGCCTCATGAATGCTGGGCTGCAAATCAGTGGCTCCTTTCCAGGATAGTCACCTAGCAACCACCAGTTAATCACATGAGGTGAACTTCCCCACCAAACCCCCTCCACACCCCCTCCCTACAAAAACAAACATATCAAGTAGTGCTTAAGATGAAGTAGCCCGGTATGATCGGGTTTTATAAATATCAAGAGGCTGTAAATATTACTCTCAAGAAAATGAATGGAGTCGCGTTTGTTTCTTACTCCACAATACAGTGCACAAAATGATCCCAACAAAGTCCTTAACTCAAAAACATGGAGGATAAACAATTAGCTTTTATGCTGTAACTGCAACTTTCGGCTGCTACTTTTCTTTAGCCTTCTGACACTTTTACCTAACATGTCACATTCACCCATTGTGTGTGAATGCAGAGGCTGCTACATACACAAGTGTTATTACACATGTGTCAGTCCTGCTACACTTCAGCATTTGACTGCAGGAGCTTGGGATCAAACCCCCAACCTTCTGGTAGAGAGATGACCGACTCTAGCACTGAGCCAAAGCCAAATATAACTTGAAAGGACAAACAGAATCAATCTAAATTTGTCAGAGCCATGCATTGCATTGATACATAAACAGGACACTTTTTCAGTGTGAGTGATCAGTGAGAAACCACAACTGGCAGTCCATTTGTTCAAAAATGGAACACATCTCTGATGAGGGACCAGATGTCCTTGCCTCAAATCCTGCAGCCAAATGCATAAATAAAAGACTCAAACTATCTGATTGGCCTCATGTGCTTTTCAAATTTCTATATTCTAAGTTTAATTATACTGCATATTTGTTTCTCATTTACTTTGGTTCAATTCTCAAATAAGAATTAATTAATTATTTAAAGACATGTTTTGGTACATGTATGCTATATATTCAATGATGGTGTACACGTATATTCTATACATATCCATAATATGGGATGTTTGTGGTGTCTGAAAAATGGCAAACAAGCTGCCAGATGAACGCAATTAACAAGGAATTTTGTCGCAAATTTTATGTTTATGACTTTATGAAAGACCAAAGGTGAATTTTGAATAGGCCTACAATAATAAGCATACATACGGTATACTGATCTTTATGTTTATAGGCTACGGCTGTATTTTACAGAATTGTCTAAAGTTGAAATCTGAATCTAAAAAGCTCAGTATGATACAGTACAAAGTAGCATTCAGCAGGTTGAATGTATGCAGTCAGTGTCAACAAAAATGTTGAATAAATATTTGAGAATTTTACATGACAAACTTTTTAAGGCTTGACTGACATGGTCACAAAAACATCAAAGAGATGTTCTCAACATTTTGACCAGCACAGCTCACATTATGCAACCAGAATGAAATGTTGTGGTTGAATTATGACCTTTTGCAGACATGCAGTTTTGATTTGTTGAGTTGTGACAATTGTATTTAGAGTACAGTTTTCCTGTTTTACTTGTATTGACCATCAACAGATCAAACAGCATGGGTTTAATTAATTTTTGAACCTGAACGTAAATAAGTTGGCAAGTCGCTCCACACGTTGCTTTAACATCTGGCTTAAAAAGGTGAGCTCTCTGTTCTTAAAACTGAAATTGAAGACGCTAGCTTACCATATTGTTCATCAACTATAGACTAGATCAGATTTTTCACTGTATCCTGATTTGCAGTGGAATTAGTGTTAGAGGAAGAAAATTGCAACAGTGCTTTTTAAATGAGGTCCTACGACGGAGTATTAGGGCCACATTAAAGAAAATAAATTCTAAAATTGCAAGATTAAAGTCGCAAATTTAAGAGATTAAATTAAATACATTTATTAAAATGAAGTCACGATATTACATTCAAAATCCTTTTATATATGGTTATAATTATTATTTTGATAGGTTGTATCAGAAGAGCAGCCACCCACCTGCACTAAAGTGATGAAAGGGTGAACCCTCAAAGCCATTTCCTCTGCCACAGAAGAGACAGTTTCCTCTAAGTCACTGTGGTTCTTTCTCGGAAAGAACTGTTGTTTTAAAGCGGGTCATTCCACAGAGAGATAATGCTCAATCTGTGTTACAGGCTACACAATAATAATAAAAAAAAGATGCTCCATGGTCCTCATATTCAAACAGGCGGCTGCTGCTTTCCTGATATTACTATAGACTAAAATAATGACTTTAATCTTGTAAATGTATAACTTCATTCTCGTAAATGTATGACTTTAATCACATAATCAACAAATTATTTCCCCCTTAATTTGGCTCTAATACTTCATCGTAAGGTCCTCCCATCATGGATGTGAAGATATAATTGATCCAGGACCCCTGCAGCATGCTCAGCTGGCACTTCTGGAGCCCAAGAAGCACAAGCCACCACAGCTGCTCTCACTTACCCAGCTTTAACACACTGACTCAATCACACTGGCACACCATATGAAAAAGATGTTTTTGAGAGATCATGTTTAACCTTTAGGCTCAGAGGTGGTTCAGTGGGTTTGAAAATCAATAATCTCTAAAATGTTATCAAAATATGAAGTTTCATCATTATGTTACAAAATTAAAATGTAAAAATATAATCCTAGCCCCCCAGGAGCCACACATAAAAAGATGTATTTCTTTAAAAATTGTTATTAAAATCTTAATATTAATAAAATCTTATCAGAATATGCCTACACACACACTTGTTCCTACCAAAAGACCTTTGTATAAATCCCGCCCCCCCCACCCCAAGATCTCTGACGCCCCCTAGGGGGTTGGAACTGGTGTGTTGCCTCTAGGCAACGTAACCTGTTTTAGCTTTTAAAAATGAAATGAGACGCCCATTTAATTGTTAAATGCTATCTCGGGAGAGGGGAAGTCATATAATAACCAATGATGATGCAAAAAACTGCTCACATGACCCACAGGGTTTCATTTGGCCTCCTTTTTCACTTTTTAAACACATGTGCAATATGGGTAATGTGCAATTCATGTTGTGTTGTTCTGTATTGGTATGTGCCTTTTTGTATGTGTGGATGTGGTTTTTCTGTTTTTAGTTATTGATTTGAGTTGAAGCATCTGAATGTTTGGCAGCACTTTGAGTACAAAACAAATTTCCCCAAGGGGACAATAAAGTCTATCACATCGTATCGCATAGTATATAGGCCCACATGTCACACAGTCCCATATTTTCTCTAATTAAAAGGGCATTTTCCCCTTATTTTAGTCTAATTTAGTTTAATTTATAATTAAAGAAATATATATTATAAAAACTTAAAGAGACCAATGGATCATAGAATATGGCACAAAACTTCATGTTACCCTAAGGCAACATTGTACTGAAATGGAATTGCATAAGGCCATACAGAATATATAATTCACATACTTTATCTACAGTGCACATATTGCGATTTCATGCAGGAGATGAATCTGCACTTACTCTATGGCACATAAAAAATGTATAAAGCACAAGTGGCCATGCCAGTTGAGATGAGGATGAGGTGTCATATAATGGAGAGAGAGGGTAGATATGAGGATGAGATGGAAGAACAATAATGGTAGGAAATCAATGGGAAAAAGATAAGAGGTTACTGGCCTGTTTGGGTTGAAAGGTTGATTAGGCATTGTAAAAATGCAGTGCTCAGAATGCACAACCTACCTAGATTTTGTGTGTATGTGCTTGTGTATATGCGTATGTCCTTGTGCGTATATATGTACTTGATTAATGTGGACTGAGTAATGCATTAAAAACAAGATAAAAATGTTTGTTCAAATGTTGTGGTCAAAGAATAAACATTCAATAAACATTCTGCAAGAAAATATCTAATGTTTCAATTTGTCTGTTATGGTACAAAGATGCCTCGAGGCTACAGACTATAAAAAAATAAAGACGTTTCGAAATAATGACTATACATTTTTTTTATATTGTTATAGGGTGCAATTTAAAGCAGGAAAAAAAAATCAAAAAAATGTTCCTTCATTGAAATCATAATGCCAACCATAGAGGGTTAATATTTAACACTGTCACCACGCTCCACTGCCATCACAATCTTCTCAACAAACCAAATACTAATGGCAGCCTTTTTGATGAGATCACCAATAACACAATGACACATTGTTCATGTGTTAAATTCAGGTGTAAACAGGGCCATTCTTACCTCAGATGATCCCACTGAGACTATTCTTCATTGAGCATTGCAATGGTTTTGCAAATGTGAAAGACATTCTGTGCTCATCAGGCTACGACTAATTCTGTGTGAGATATCACACGAGTATTTAAAAACCCTGTTCAGCAATTTACTGACAAATAGTCAATCCCCTGTGTTTCTGTGCAAGCTAAGCTGTGACAATCCCATTACCAGTCCTGTCTGACCCTCGCATCCGACAGAGCTTCTCTCTCTCACTACATTCTAGGAATATGCAAATATGTTGTTGTTTTGTAGTACTACTTATTTGTATATTATGCACAATTTAATAAAACAAAACTTGTACTGGACCCGTTTAGGTTATAGTTTAGTGAAAGTGAGGTAGGAGTCCTCCAATCCCTAAGTGACTCGATGGATTACAGTGCAGTTAAAGCAGCTTACAGAACATGTTCTGCAGGTTAAATAGGTGAGTTCATACCGCTGCTCTCCCTGGGTTTAACTCTCCTTCAGCAAGATAAGCCCAAAAATGTGTTAATGTTACAACTGTGTGCAAGAACCCTACTCCTCTCCACATATCAATCACTGGGCAGTTTTTTTTTTCTTTCTGGCAGATGTCCATGATCTGGCTCATTCAATATGCTGTGACCAAGGGATGTGGTGAAGTGATCCCCTCCTCTGTGTGCTGCATGTATCGATGAGAGGGGACTTGTGAATGTGGTTTGGCGTTTGATCAACCATTTCTGCTTCACACCAATTGCTCTTAGAACCTGACAAAATTTGTTACTATGGTCCCCAGTCATGTAGATTTCCCTACAAGGTCCAGTTGAATCCCAATATTTTTTCATACACATGCACGTTATGGCTCAAAACTACAGGGCCTAATTACAATATCTCTGCAGCTGTTCTAATCAGATTATTTCCATTGGGAGTGTGAAGGCCATTATACCAGCATAATTGTCTTTTATTTTTAGTGAAATAGATTTCTACCTTATACTAGGTTGCGTTCCAAAACCTGTTGTTTTGCAAGACTGAATGTGGAACCTGTCATTTCAGAAATTAATTATGAATACCTCCTTAAAGTCTGTGACACATTAATTAACTATTACCTGATGTTTAAACCGTATGTTCTCCTTTCCTACTTGTTGTTCAATGATTGACTAAAGTCTGCAATAAACTAATACATTGCTTCTTCTAGAAGCAGGGTTTCTTGGTGAAATCGCTCATGTCTTGTTCCTGTGTGTGATCTCAGCAAACTAAGGGATGTTAAATCTCATAAGCTTTGACAGTGCAACTGGCTCAAGTCTAAAGAGACCTGATGTCATTAACAGTCTGATAATGACATCAGGTCCCTGTCAAAGACTCAAAGAGGCCTGTGGACAGACACGGGATACTAATGTCTAAACTTACAGCTGTTTGTGAGATTATTGAAGAAGTTATATCATCATTTTGCATTGAGCTTGAAAAGTCTTGTAAGCCATTATAAATTGTTCTTGCTCCCAGTGGCATCAGTATTCACTGTTTCACTGTCAGAGATCTGGAGCAGCACATAGATGCCCCAGATTTATTTATTTTTTTGAATAAAAGCGGTGGTGCAGAAAGCGTACCTTTTCTTTCAACAAGAAAAGGTCTGATGTAGATTTTGAAGCTTCATTAAATGAATAAAGAAATTCTGACCAATGATGGAAATAAGAAACTATTAGATCTGTTGTGACATTTGTGATGGACATGAGGATTAGGTTTGCAGGCATGGCCCACACAGGGGGTTAACAGAGTCTCAGACAGGAAAACTACCAGCCATTGTGCCCACACAGTGATGCCTAGAGAAGGCCTGAATCTGCACATGAGAATACTCCCTCTATCACATGCATAATAATGGATCCCACAATCTGTGCTCCCACTCAGATGTTCACTGTATTTTGTCACTCCTCTGTCTGTGGTGCACAACACACACATCGATGCTATATTCAATCATTTGCTGTGAGGTAAACAGAACCATGCCCCTGAGTAAGCTCCCTCCCAAAAATGAATCACCTCTCCCTCTGAACAAAGTTTTACTGTAATCCATACTGTATGCTGCAAAACAATGTGTGCTCGAATACAAAAATCTATCTATCTATCACAAACACCAACCAATTCACTCTGTCGTACAATGGTTGCCAGCCAGTCATCTGTACACTGTATCCATGACAACTGTATTCAACGTAACCTATCATCAAAGCACTGAATACTTTTTGTGGATAAAGTTCAGACACTTGACATTGTTGCATTTAGACACACAGATGTTCATAACTGACACTACTGATGCATAGAGAGAAAGAACAATCTTTCATTCTTTAATCCATATTACAAAAACACTAATGAGAGGGAATAGTGACGGTAAAGAAAGTGACATCACTTGAATTATAGGTCCTCTTATTCCAATTACATCACAGCAGAGCTGGATTTTTTGTTCAAACAAGGATACAGAACATTAAAACACAAATCACCATGTTGAGGTTTTTAAGACCTCAAAGTACTCTCAGATCTAAAAAAAAATGGGCAAGAGACATTTTAGTAAATCCATTTACATGACTCTTCTGGAAGAAAAGATATTCAGATAAACGTTCAAAATATTGTGTTAGTGCTGCTTTTTAATCCATGTTGCAATAAGAAATTATTACTGATAATCTGATTTTTACTGAATTTATAATGCACATTACTGGCTTCCATTGAGAAATAAGAGGTGAGTGTTTCTTCCCTTTTTTGTACAAAGAAAGAAAGACTAGACTCCCTGTGAGGTCAGTCTGATTCCATTACGTATCACTCATTTGGCAAGATATTCTTGAGTTCGGTATGTACAAAGCTTCTGTATAGTTCAGTACAAGACTCTGTTCTGATTCCACTAGCTAAAAACGTCAGTGTGCTTTTAATGGGTCACTTGCAAATAAACCAGATCACTCAGAGCTGACGACTTATATATCCAAACTGTTACAAACTTAATCGCATAGTGGTCCATGGGCAACACTGCAAGCTGCAGTCTATCTGCACTGGTATGGTGCATCACTGCAAAATCCATTCAAAATAAACTACACTTTATATCATTGGATCCTTTGTACAAAAAAAAAATCATTAAAAAGGAAGAGAAAAAGAAAAAGAAAGAAAAAAAGGCATTGATCCAAAACAGAGACTCCACTTGGGTTTCCCCTTCACCGACCTTAGAGTTTGACTGTCTGTAGCCGAATCAGTGTTTCTGACAGGAGACAGCAAACACAACTGATCTCTTTATCTCAGGTCTTTTCACATTTAGACATGCACAGCATGACTCTGTCTTTGTAAGGCGGCGTGTGCTTCTGTTTCTGACATTACATACATTAAATAATGTAGACATTGACAAAAACCTCAGGTCACATGGGTTTTATCATTTAGAGCCACCATTGCAGTCCACACCATGTGGCACATATGAGTGAATTTGTTTCAATTATTAGTTGATAAAACAGGCTAGTCATGATTTATCAGTGCTGTGAATTTCTATTAGTTTTCTCCCATTAAAGTATCTCGTTTTCTTTTTGACAATTCTCTGTCAAATGCATTCATCACACCTTCTTAGTGTTAACATGCTCAATAGTACAGATGAAGCTGACAGGGTTTGCACATATTATTATTAAATATTCGACAGATGGAAACTTTGAAATGAGCATTAGAGCAAAGAGGAGAATCAGGGGACACATCCAATAACTGTATTTGTTAACAATAATTGTGTGTGCAAATCGTTTTGCCAATAAGTATAGGAGATCTGGTTTATGTCTGTCTGGAGGACAAATGTTGCTCAGATGTTTGTCGATCAACCAGAAGGCTGTGGGTTTGATTCCCAGCTCCTGCAGCCACATGTCGATAACCCCAAGTTAAGGGTGCATGTGGTGTGTATGCACTTCCCAGTATAAGTCAGAAGACTAAAAAAGTGCTTTACAAGCTCAAGTCCATTTCCCTATACATAAACGTGCTGTTAGACAGACTGACAGACCCTTCAATCCTGCACCTGGTAAAATAGAATAATATCAAATTCAATTAGTAATAGTAAAGAACTTGCAAAAAACACACCAATTCCAAATGATTTTATATTGTTTAATTTCACCATGCATGCTCTGATGCTACTATTAGTCTACAGAAATAAACTGAGTTGAATGTGGCTATACTGTAGTACTGTACTACCTTATCTCTTCCAGGATGATATATTCTGAAATGTTTCTAAACAAAGAAATGTAATCTATGCTAAAGCACAAAAATGGTCTTCAATTTGAGTAAGCGACTATTCCTGCTCATGACGTCAATTTAAACGCCTATAACACTACATTTCCCAGAGAGCTTTGCTCGCAGTATAAATAGTAACGAAAGGGGCGTTCCCTGCAGTGACATGTGGAGGAGGCAAGAAGCGGATTGTTGCCGAGGACGCGTTCAGCTGTCAGAGATAACGCCGATCAGCCTGCGCTCACCTGGAGTTTCACTAACATGGACTTAACCGAGGACAGCGCTGTGGAAATGATCCTGTGCTGACCCACTTCTTCACTCCTTCCTTTCTCTACCTAGCTTGGACGCCTTCTATCAAATTCTGCCAGGTAAATTCCACGTCTAGGCTTCGTGTAGTTTTCAGTCATGGCATTGTTCATTTAGCCGCTGAGCTGTAAGCATCCCTGTCAA